GAAAGCGTCTTTTGAAAGAAGTCACCGTAGTCACTACGTAGCTTGTCGTTTTAATAACGACAACATACTGTGAGAATACTGTGTTTCAATCAAAATGCATTAAGAGTTTTTTTATTTGCGGCTTATGATTTCGAAATTAGTATCTTCGGAAGAATCGTTTCATGCGTTTTCCATCCATTAATCAAGCTTTTTAGGTGATTACCAGAATCAGCAGCCTGGTCAAGGTACTTTTGTCCAGAACAGTGGACCTCTTCTTCAACCTCAGCCTTCAATGCTCCAACAATCTCAGCCATCTCTAGATCCTTCCCAGCAATCTCAGCCCCAGATGCCACAGCAGCAACAGATGCAGCCACAACAGTCACACCATGTCCTACCCTCCCAACAACAACAACAATCTGCGCAACAACCTTCGGCCAACGTACCCCATTCAATGCAACCACAAGTCATGCAGCATATGCAGCCACATCACATGCAGCAACAGATGCCTCCACAGCAGGGTATGCAGCAGTCACATCTGCAGCATACACAGTCACAGCAGTCTATGATGCAACAACAAATGGGACAGTCCCATGTGCAACGATCGAGTAGTGCTCAAGGTGAGTTACGAAATGCAATGGGTTATCGCCTAAGTTTCAAGAAATGTTAAATTGACTTCCTTTGTTTCCTCTGAGCCTCTCATTATGGCCATTTTTCTTAGCGAAAGCTGGGCGGTTCCATTTTGGGCTTTAGTTGGGTTAGTGGAGAGGGAAGAATCTTACCTGCGGATCACGAATTCATATCCGTTCCGCACAATTCGGCTATAAAGTAGTATGGTAGATAGACGGTGAGAGAGAAGGAAAAAAATTTGCCATGAAAGTTCTAATGTGTTTGTTTGACTTGCTGACCACTAATATTTCACTCCACACAAATGCAGCCATACTGCAGGGTCGCGTAGGTGGATGGTAAGAGACAGGAATAACTGATTTGACTATGAAGTAACCTAATGGGGCTATTTGACTTGCTGATCACAATCATATCCACCCCTCACAATAGGCTCTTATTAAAGAGTTACTTATCCCAGATATGTCTAAAAACGATCTTGTTGGTAATTGACTTCTCTCCACATAAACACGGTAAATAGTTATTGGCAGGCGTAAGTTCCTGAATAAAGAGCCAGCAATTTACCACCTAATAAAGGCTTACGGTAAGGGCTAAGAGTATGGTATAGGAGCGAGATAAGTACTATATACAGGATTTCGTGGTCAACATACCAAATAACCTCAATGTGAAACCTTTTAGCAGATATTTGATTTTGACCTCTTCTCGTCTACTTACCATAACCATGCAATGTGAATGTATCAAAATGGTTAGGATATTTGTGATCAGCATACGGATCATCTTTCTAGCCAAAGTTCTAGGAAATCCGAACCTTGAGGTTTTGAGGCACTTTAAGTGGAGTAGTACCAGAACTTTGAAGTGACACTAAAATAAAATACATTGAAAACAATATAGCTTTTGCGAGGACGCTTGATGGTGCGTTCTTGCGACCACAGGGTCCAATTATGTAGTATAAAACCAGGTGCAGCTCAATTGAAACTACCTTGCCTTGCCGTATTGAAAATATAGATGCGAACGCCCCTAGGTCCTGCGTACAAGCTTCATTGTTTTGTCAGTTGTCAGATAATCATGGAAAACTGAGCAATGACTATGAACTGCAGGTGAAAAAAGGG